GTCATCTATTGCTGCTCTGATGTTGTAGGTGCTCATCCTCATTTTGTTTCTGACTAGATGTTCGTAGCCCAAAGTTCATCTCGCCGAAATGGCTTCAATATTAGCGCCTACGACTTTGAACCTACCCCTCTACCATGGCTTCGATTGCCACGGACCGTCCGTGAACATGAACTTTGCACCCATCGCGAAATTTTGCATTGATTTCTCCGTGTCTTGTATTTCACATAAACAATTTGTTTTGTTGATGCATTATAAAATTTTGTTCTTCAACGGTAGCTTCATTCATATGAGTTACTTTAATACCAGTTGGGCTACCCGGCTAACGCCGAACTCTCCTTCTTCTTATGACAAGGTTGAAATTTCTCACTGAGGCTTATTATTAGTACTTTCCTTTTCTTCTTGAAGTGAGTATTGAGTAGCAACTAGTAGTACAAAACTACACTGATCAAAATCAGTTACCATTATCGGGTACAGCTGTATTCCTACCGCATCTCTCCAACTTTCTCAGAGTTGGAACACTGTACGATTAAAGGGAACAAAGTTGCGATCGCTAAATAACAGATCCAAATAGCAAGTAAACATCTCTACGGCGCAAACTCCCCACGTAAATGCTACTTGTCTGAGGCGAGGCTGTGAATTTACGATACATGCTCCAGAAGGACCGGTGAGAATTGTCAATCTTGGATTCCCACTTCCCCCATCCACCCCTTAGGACCAGATACTACCTCCTGCCATTAGTCTTCGCATCTTGTCGCCTGCTTCCCTATCAAATTTGAGTGTCGCAGGTCCTAAATAACCATTCCTCCACTGGTAAATACACCTACCATCCGCCATTAACAATCCGATCCTGCCAGCTTTCATCACTTCCAAATTTGGATACTCTACTTCAAGGGAGCGATTTTCGCACACGCACCTGGTGGGCCGAGTCTGCTCCTACCGTTTGCCATTAGCTCTTCTGTTTTGTCACCTATGATCCATCCAAATTTGGACACTCTAGCTTGAAGAGTGCATGCTATTTTACGCACGCCCCGACCTTAGTCGGCGGAGTCTACTTCTGCCGCTTGCCATTAGTGTTCCTATTTTATCACCTATGCTCCATCCAAATTTGAACACTCTACCTTCAAGTTTGCAATTTTCCGCACGTTCCTCCCTTAGTGGGCGGGACCTACTCTTGCTACACGTTTCTAGTGTTCCCATTTTGCCGTCTGTTTCCTTACGACTTTAAAACCTCAGCATTCAAGGGAGCAATGTTGCGCCCGAACTACCCGCGGCGGGCGGAGTCTACTGCCATCTGCCATTGCTGTTGTCATCTTGCGGCCTGTCTTTTTTCCAAATTTGAAGCCTTAGCTCAAGGATGCGATTCGATCGCTATTTTTTCCTTTTTCTCTTCTTTTTTAATGATAACACTGGTTCAAATCTTGCCGGAATCCGAGGACTTGCAATGATATTAATCAAGGGTGGTCTTGCTGGACTTGCTATTAGTTGAACCAGAAATCTCCAAAACCTCTACCGAGAGCTGCTCAATCTGTGAGTTGATGTTGCTATTAATGTAACAGTTTACAACCTGGACTTTGAATAAAGTACAGTTAGTTCAAGTCTAGAAGTCTAGGGCGGAAACTGGGTCCCTTCACAAAAAACTTCTGCATTTCCTGTCGGTCTCACCAGATGCCTCTATCTGGAATTGAGTTCTCAGTTACCCATACAATCTGGACTATCTTGGTTCTTACTCAAGAATTTTTATGCTCTTCCTCAAAAGTATCAATCCGCTGCAGACTGTACATCCTTCATGGCAAACAATAATGTTCAATGCCTCTCTTAAAGTAAATTCCACTGGCTTCCAGCCGAGAATGTATTGTATAATGATTGCATTTCGCATCTCAGACCATGCATGTTAACTTAAGATTCCCTCCTTAGAGATGAGCTAGAATCAAAAAAGGCTCTCTAGCGGGTGCCCAGGGCTCTACGATGCATCTACGATTCCACTGTGCTAACACATGTTCAGCATCCTTGGCTACACACCAGTCACCCACTCATCAAAGGCATGAATCGCTCACCGTATAGTCGTGGACTTTGCACCCGTGCCTGCAATATTCAATTTCGACTGTGGCTGAAATGACTCCAGTTGACTTTAGAACTTCAAGGTCCGTCGTTCACATCTGATGCACTTGATAATGCTTCCTATCTGTTTTGATTGTCTGCTTCAACTTTATAGGTCTTCCTTTTTTGCCTTCGTCTGTTACAGATTTACTAAGCTTCTAGATAGTTTCATCCATTCCTTTTTTGGTTTCTGAATTTCATTTTTTGTACTGCAGTGTTTGAAACTATTCATTGGCAACTCGGTGTATTGATTGTCTACAGTATACATCAAAGATTTACATCGAAGAGAAACCTCGATCTGAATTCTGAAACATTCAATTAGACGAGTCGATATGTTCTCTTGAGTTTATAAGAATGTTTGTTGTGGCCTTTTTCAGATCTCTATCCGAGACCCGAATCCGATAGCTTGGGACTTCTAATCATCATATCATCTGATCAGGGAACGAAGAAAAACGAAATGAAAAAGTGGAATAACTGGCAAAATGCCCTAACTAGAATCGATGGGATGGACGCGAATTCGATTGCGATGTCCAGTCAATCTAGTGATCACCGAATGGAAATCGCATTGATTTTTTCGTCTAGTTGATCGATATCGAGGTAATCAAACAAAATGTAATGGAATGATGGTCTTCATGGTTCAAGGTGGTGTCACGATATCAATCTATCTTTCAGCCTTCTAATCGATCGCTAGGTGGCAATCGACAAGCAGCACAGGAAATGTGGACCATTTTCTTAGGCGCATAGGAGGATTCCAGGCTGAGCCAAGTTCGACTGGGCGGGAGGGACTGTGAAAGCAGCCTTAATTTTTTTCTTTGAGGAGATTTCCATAGCAGGACGAGAGAGGGTTCGCTGAACGCATTGCAAATTGTCGCTTGGCCTTGATGAGCTCCAGCCCACTCCTCATTGCAGGGTGGCCCAAATATGTATATTGTTACATGGAAAAATCAATTATCTTCCTCAATACTTAACCGAGAGCAATCAGATTTGGCACATAGTTTATTGTGACCGGTGCAACTTAAATTGGGAGTGATCACTCGATGAGGCCCTCTTTGGCCTTCACGACAGCCTTCAGACGCATGCTCAGGGCACGAGTCGATGAGGGACTACAGGTATTTGATGTCGATTTCATCTCCAACTTTCAAAGCTGACTTGGGTGAGTCGATACTTCTCTGTCAAGTGGAACAGACCTTCTGCTCGAGAACCGACCAAACCGAGTAGTCTAATAGGTTGAGGTCAGGCAATAGCTCCTCCTCCAGAATATGCTCTATGTAGTGGTTCGTACCGATATTCACTCCTGGGTCGACGAAAGCGAGCAAAGTTTTTCCGCTGGCGCACACTCTGGACGATACCATCACGCTGGCAGGGTGAGAGGTCCTAGAGACGACTCATCCCTGGAAAAGGCCTGCTGAGGGGATGAGGCGAGCACTCGCGTATTTTGGTCATTCGCCGCTGCCTACATGGTGAAGAGCTTCGGAGGCGGCCGGAGGTCTTCCCGGCAGCGGTCCACGCAAGCATGGCCGGACATCTTGCAAGCCGGACAGGCTTATTCTTCTCCGTGAGACCATGGCATCTTCTGATCTTGTGAGGGTAGAGTCCAAGGTAGTCGTGTACCAACCTTCCGATGAATTGTCGTTGGATCCTTGGCCATTTTTCGCATGTTGCGACCACGACTCCTGTCGATGCGCTCCTTGAAGGTTCTTCGGTTCGCAGAAGTCGTTGCGGTGCGTGGTCTTCCAGGTCAAGAACGGTCGGCAATCGTACCAGTCTCACAGTACCTCTTGGGAGTCCTACAGACGGTTTGGAGGCAGACGGAGAGCTTCTTCAAGATGAGGGATGGGGTTTCGTCAGCGTCGTGCAAGCGCTACAGGATTAGCGCGTACCATCTTGGACTGACTTATCGGATTTTGATGAAATTCAGTGATAGTGATGAAATCATATCTATTTCCAATAATAACACATCAGATTTACAATATATCGAATTCAATGTGTAATACCACACGTTGCTCTGTGTTGTGCAATAATAATTACGAGTCACCCTGTAGATAGATTAATGCGATTGGTAGGTGGTACCGAATGATGAGGAGTGAGCTAAACCTTTCAAGACTTGGCTATCACTTGAGTGCGCTCATCGGACCCACTTTTTCGAGCACTGTTCTTTCTGTACTATTTGCAGATATGATTTCTCGATACGCTTCCCTCCGCTCCCGTTCCCTGAAGAATTGAGTGATGGTGAACGATTGTGAAGGAGATCGTATCGCATTCCAAGCATCTGCGACGAACCGCTAGCTGTGGAATACGACGGCGGGATGAGAGTGGACTGCGCAATATGAGGATGGGACTCCTCCGATGTGTGGTCCTTCCAATAAAGGAGTTCATTCACAGCTCGACTCTGATCAGATTTTTTTAGCCGATCCGCATCCATGATCTAATCAAGATTCAATGCAATGAGAAAGAGGACAATGGCGAAACCTCAAATCTACAGGAACACGATTATTTCTTCATAGAATTACAAGGACGATCAACTTAGTTCGACGATTTCGTCGTGAGGCGGTCCGAGCGCGGATCATAAGTATGCCGACACTGAAGTCCTCTTTATTTCCGTCTTTTTATTGCAAACAGTTCAGGTTGACGCCAATTTCATCGTGATAGTCTCTTTCGTCCATAGGTCTGCGAAGGAATAGGGGACTGGTCAGCTTAGTTCGACGATTTCGTCGTGAGGCGATCCGAGCGGGGATCAGAAGTATGCCATCATAAAGACCCCTTCAACGCCCTTTCTATTGTACTCAATTTAGGTTGACGCAGTCTTCATTGAGGCAAGGACAATTCTTGCTCACAGTGCTCGTCGATAACTTTGTGTAGTTGTGTAACACCATCTTTGAGTTCTTTGGTCTGCAAGTACACGGATGTGTGTAGGACAACGGAGACGAGTCAACTTAGTTCGACGATTTTGTCGTGAGGCGATCCGAGCGGGGATCAGAAGTATGTCAAGAATATTAACCCCTATCGTACCCACTTTTTCATTGTACTCATTCAGGTTGATGACGTCTTTATTGAGAACGCCCTACTTCTCGTCCTAAGAGATCCTTCGATATGTTCGCGTACCTGTCAAATCAACTCGTTGAGCTTTCCCTCTAGAAGAACAAGGTTATGCGCGGATCAACGAGAACGGACCAACTTAGTTCGACGGTAACGTCGTGAGACGATCCGAACGGGGATCATAGGTATGCCAATAATGTTTTTTTTAATGCCCTCCCCCCTTTTCATTTTACTCGTTTAGGTTGGTGCCGTTCTCATCAAGACTGGTCCTTCTTGGCCAAGAATTCTTCGATTGCTCGTGTAGCTGTGAATGACATACGTGGAGACTTTTCTCCAAACGCTCCAGGACATAAGGAGGATTACTGCAAAGTTAGCGGGACTCGGGACTGGATCGCCGCCAAATCGTCTCGGTAGGGATGACTGCAGTTCTTTCCCTCGCAAAATTTGATCCGAAATTTGTGTGAGCCTGATTCTACGAGAGTTGCCTGACAGTTTCGTCTTTCCCGAGCCTTGTTCCTTTTGATACTCGTCTGGCGTCTCCCGAAATCGTGTGCAGGATAGTACCTCGTGTTCATAGGTAGATTAAGATGTTCAGGTCGCCGTCGAAGGTCCAACCGGAAAGCATGCGGCCGCCTATCCTTTTGAAAGGCGATCCGATCAGGGATCAGGGGTGTGTCGTCAATCGCTCTTTTCTATCGTGCCTTTTTGCTTAGATTCGATAATTCAGGTAGTTTGGGCTCGCAACAACCGTTCGCCGGACATCACTCAGGCAACTGCCAACATCAAACACTGCAGCCGATCTCCGGAAAAACTGATGGACAAGAAAGAATTGACTCAAAGTCAATGCTTTTCGGTGGACAGCGGCTAAGTTCCGACTTCTGAAGCGAACGGCTCATGGTTGAGGTTTGTTGACTTGCTTTTTCATGAGTGGTCCAACTTCCAGTTCAAATTGGACACTTTTGCAGACTGGGCGTTACGACATCCACGAGAGCCACGCGGAGCCGTCACCCGGAGTCGACAAAGTGATATTTTGACTCGTGCAGGTGTGGCTGCTTGAGGGTGTGGGCAACTAGGTTTTTTAACTCATTTCCTTTGTTTCGTTTTATTTCTAACCTTTTTTTATGTGTCTAGTCAATAGGTAACCTTCAGCGTTGTATATTTANTCTGCCTGTAGTTTTGGGGTTAGTAGTTGTTAGGTACAGGTTCACTAATTGTTGTTCCTCAAACTTAGTTCTCTGGGGCGCGAAATGGTTGTCGCTATCTATGCAAGAGCTTGCTTTCGGGAGCAGGACAGTTGCTATATTTTGACAAGCATTTCATTACGTCCCTTAGGTAACGACTGCGAGGGAAGTAGGGCTGGGACAAAATGGGGTGAGGAAATTTGGGAGGGGAGGGGGTGGGTACTCATGGGGACTCTCATTGATCAGTTTTCCTGTTGCCCACTTCTGCCTTCCTTTTTGTTTTTGCTTAAGCCCTTGGGGGCAACCCAAACGATTAGGTACTAGGAGAAGGGTCCCAGAAATAGGGAAACTGATATAATGTAACTCATATACAAAACATTGGATGGGGGTATAAGCTGACTTTCTCACTATTACTCATTTAGCAGCCTTTGGTTGAAGTAAAATAATCTTATGGCCGCAAGAATTTGACTGTTGGGCAATTAATGGTGATCGTAGGGCTACCAGGAGTTACTGATTTCTCGTAGAGTTATAAAAACCTTCGTTGTGCTTGTTGGAAACTAGCTTCTGTCTTCCTTTTGAAGTGCAGCTTTGCGTAATGCGGCTAAGTTTGGCGGTTCAACGGGATTTGAGATGAGGAATATCGATTAGTGAGCAACTAGTGGGGTTAGGACAGAGCCTATTAGTCATATAAATGCCCACACCTATCAGTCACCCTGTGATACCCACCCTAAGTTTTCCCGTACAAAGCAGAAGGCTTGTACCTTCTGAAGAATTGATCCCTTCCGCAATGAATCCCTGCGCTGTTTCCCGCTGATGGACTCGACTTATCGAGGTCCACAGAGGGGACGTGGCCTGTGATGTTGGATGCCCCTTCGTTCCACACTCGCCTCTGGTGCAACTGGGTTTTACATTAGCGGACGATGCCAGTTGCATATGGATGCATGATCGACCACTTAGGAGCAATGCTCCTTGCAGGTCGTGAATGAACAGCCCCTCTCTTCGGGAAGCAATGGAAAGGATTCTTGCTCTTATTAGACCACATCGCTCAATACCCAGCCACCATGTGCGATCCCTGCAAGTACAGTCAACCACGCGGTTCGATCTGCTGGTTGCGAATCGAGGGTGGAAATTGGAACGCCCTTCTTGCCACTGGTGTCCCACCACTGTACAGAATGCTTCGGTATTTAGGCGAATCGTGGCGCTGCTTGCCTAATGAAAAACGATCATGAGGAATGATCATGTTTGGGGTATGTAAAGACAGGCAGTAAAGGCACAGTTCACAATGATTCTGGGGTGTTTAGTTTTCGACAACTAATGGGAGAGTTAGTCCCGAATAGTGCAAAAAAANAAAAAAAGGCGTAGACAGCGCAAAAATTGGTGTATTTAAAAAAATATAGTGCCTCAAAAAATTAGAAAACTTCTGGGTTGGTATCGTTAGGGGTTAGTTACAACTAGGGGTACTTCAGCTAAGCGGGTTCTAAGGCCCTAATCAGGGGCTATCTTGAGTGTTTTCCGATCCGTCAGCGTTCCCTTATCTTTGAGGGTCACAATTTCTTAAAAGAGAGAGGTCATGGAAATAATTTTTTACGTGAACTGTGCCTTTAAACTGGATGCATGCTTTGACCAATTGCTCTCTTTCATCAAAGCAATAGCCCGCAGGATATCATGGAAAGTTGAGACTTGCTGTGATGAGGAGGGTAAGGGATGGGTGCTTTACATGGACAGTGAACGGCTAAGATGATCCGAACACTTCCCGACGAAACAGCTCACACTTTTGGGAAACTTAGGGACGCTCTCGGAGCAGTTTCTTGGCTCCAAAATAGCATTTTCTAGTGTGTTTTAATGCAAAGTTTGGGAAGATGTTTAGGAAAAAACGGTCCTGTCAGGTTCGGTGCTTTCGAAGGCTTTCATTGCTTTTTTGGAGTCGCAAGCAATGGTGCTCCTGAATGAATAAGATCGTAAAAGCTTCGTCAATCAATCTGCTCAAGAAGATGCGCGGGAATTATGTGGAAACCTTTTCATGCTATGTGCTTTGTAGATCCTAGGAAATATGGGGACATTTCGGCCGCTGCACTCTTTTGAAATGGAGGTTCCTGGACAGTTTGACGAAGTGGCCGTGGCACATCAATGAACGGATTTCTGGCAACGACTACACATTTGCAGAGCTGTAAGTATTTTTGAGATTTTTAACAAAACTACAGGAAATAACTACAGGAAATTTTCTTTGTACTCTTGAATCGTCTCCTAGCACTATGTAAATCGTTGGAAAACTGCTTGATTTCATTCCCGCTTTTCAAACTTATTTGCTGAGGAATAATATTCAACCTACAGTAGATATGGCTGAAATAGGGAAATGTGATCAATAAGTCGTATTGATTTGTATTGTCGGGTCGGGTTGGTAAAACGAGCAGGGAAGGGAGGAAAAAGAGTAGGGGTTGGAATACCAGAATGAGAAAGGGTGCGCTTAGTATTTTACTCGAGAAGTTTAATGGTTTAAGAAATTGGACTATCAAAAGGTAAATCTACAGACGGCTTAGTTATACACCTTGCATTTCCTCTAAATGTTTTCCTGCATGAAATCACTTGCATCCTCGATAACCTCAATTCATTCACACTGCTACGCGTTGTCCATGGATGGTCTTCCAACTGCCGACGTTAGGGAAATCGCCATTGGGGTGAAGTAGGTCTTCATTGCTCTCAGCTTACCGCCTTTCCGAGGATCGACTTGGTGTCCTACTTGAATTTTTCCATGTGTCTGATCTCTATATCGTCTGCAATAACATTTTGGCAAGGGACGAAGGCACAGTTCATGATTTCCTCCTTGAACCTTATGTAGTACTGCTATA